ATAAAAACACGCTTTATACTAGAGAACTCGTAATCGGAAAGCTCAGAATAATAAAACTATAATTCCGGTGATCGACACGGCTTCTGCTTCTCAATCTAAACACACATGGGATGCGAACGTTTGCCTCAATTCGTATTTCTTTTTTGCTTGAAGGCGATTCACCAAATGTCAATCAGTTACCCATGAACTGATATAAGTCGTGTAAAAAGACAGCAAATACAGTTGTAAATTCCCCCAATTAAAAGGAGCGTACTGCAAATAATGCAATACACTGCAGTTCTGGCTGCCACGTTGGTCACTTTCACCTGCTTCAAACTCGTCTGGTTTATATAATCCCCAACTTCAACAGCTCTGGATGATAATCTTCGCATTTTAATAAAAATATAGGACTGACACAATTATATTGCATACTGAACCAATATTAGATACGGAATAAGAAACGGTAAACTTTCTTAAACAGATAAATAACCCAATTCTTTTACGACGCATAAGAAAACTTACCCAACAAACTGTGGTCCTCCAGGGAATCAGTTTCCGTTTGCATCATATGATGTAAACCGGTATCATTGTGAGTAAGACTGGTACCTAATAGGAAGCATTGAATAAAAGTGTTTACTGAAGAATACATAAAAACAAAGAAAATGAATTTCGGTACAAAAACAGTAACAAAAGTCAACTTGGACTTTAAATCAGTAAATAAGCATTCAAGGACTGAAAAATTAACGTCGAATAAAGTAATATGCTACATTTTAGTCACGTTACTTGAGTAGTCCTACTCAAAATTGAATGTCGCTGTAGGCAGGCTGTAGTTTTCGAAAAATAATCTCCAAAATTGCACACGTGGAATCGTACAGGCCCGATTATTTAAAAGCTATCGTTCGCCCACACCGATTTATGCCATTCTTTAAGGCTCGTTCTGAAACAAGTGTGTTTGCTTCCTAAAATTAAGCTGACCGACCAAGCCACCATCTCGGTCAGGTTTATGCGATGAAACGCAACTTAGGGTGTCGATGAAGAAAGATATTAAGTAATTTTAAAATGCCCGCATTCGTAGAAGTCGAACAATAGAGCAAGGTCTGCATGCATGGTTTACTTCTGCTAATGGGAATAAAGATGTATTTAGCGAACACGTTTAATAAAGCTTAAATTCCATGATAAAGGAAATATAATAAAATATTATTACCTCTAACAAAGTTATAATAAGGACTTCCCATCATTACAAGATCGTCATGATGCTTTTTATAGCGCACAGTAGAGGCTCCAATGGCGCAAAACCGTAGGTCAAACGAAGCTGCAGATCCTCGGATATTCAAGCACGGAGATGCACCCAAAAACCGCGTTTGTGTAAATTCATCTTCCAACGAAAAGCAACCGCCACTAACAAAAAGTCGTCCAGCAATGTTGAACGATAGTCTGGGGGCACACGCCTAGGAGATTAAGTGAAAAATTTCGTTAGGCAAGCAATCAGAAATCTGAAATGGAACCAGAAAATTATAAAGCCAGTTCGATTGGTGTACGTGAGTGCGACACGTTCTCTAGCAGTTAGTAAGTAAAGGAAAAACAGACCGATAATTAAATACTTTAATAAATGACGAAGACATGCACGCAAATATTTTACTTTGAACGATTTATATTTACCTAGAATCCCGCAGAAACAAAAAAGACAAAAAATCTTTCTGCACAAAATCAGAACATTCTAAAATAATTTTACAATAAAAGTTGGTATGCTTATTAGCTTAAATATAAATATGTGATAGAAGAATTTAAAAATGTGTCCCATTAAACTGAAAATAACAATCCCTAACAATTAATGAAGCTTAACAGGTTATAAATAAAATACAGACATTCATAATATTTTAATAAAATACATACCACACGTTTACTTGAATTTTTTGTTATTTATCCCGAAAAACAATTTAATTAAATAAACCATGCCGCAATGGAACAGTTTGAATATAAAACGAACAACACTTTTCTGCTGTGAAAAAGCAGAAAGAATATTCGGTCTATTTGAAGCAGAATGCTTGATAATTTCGGGCGAGTGTTACATCAGTAGGATTGCAAATGAGAAAATTAATACTTCAAAATCCAAACATATCCACAGCCAATTGCCCTTAAAATATCATCCAAAAATATACATCTAGCTGGTAAAACTGAAGGAAAAGTTACTTGAATGTTTTTTCTGAGCACTATGAGAATGGAGACGGATTGACGAATTCAGAAATGGAAATATTTCCATTTTTGTGCAATATTGCACAAAACTTACAATGCACACATCAATCAAAAAATGCATGTCGTCAGCGCAAAAAAATCACGGCCACTTAAATGAAAACTACTAGGCAAATCTCGTTTAAAATATTTACTTTGGTAAAACTTACTACAACTGACTCAGCCTGGAGAGTCGTTGACAAGGAGTAGCCAAACAATTCCCTACCGATTTCACTTGTCGCACGTGACGATCTGTAGATATCCGCAGATACAGGACTGCATACATCACGTAGCGAACGACACCGATGAACGGATCCCGATGAACCATATAACGGGGCACCAATTAAAATGCCAAAAAAAGGAGAAAAGCGCCCACTGTTTAAAAGACTTTCATTTATTCCTGCGATGGAAAAACCAAAATCAGTGTTTGGCGAACCTGTTTTAAAAACAGGAGTGAGTGTGTCGATGTTAAATGAGAACGCTGGTTGTGGTA